CCTATTCTCAGACTCTCGTTCTGGCTCGCAGCTTTTGCACATGCTGTTCTCTCTACCCTAACTCCCTTTGCTTGACTCAACTCTGCTTATCCTTCAGGAAGCAGTTTGGACTTCACTTCCTCTGAGAGGTGTTCCCTGACCCCAGACTGGAGCTTGTTGTGGTTCTTTACCAGGCTCTCCACACCATCCTTTGCCTCCCAAATTCACAGGATTTAACACATTACACTCTCATTACCCACTGATCTGTCTGTGACTCCACCAAACCGTGCCTCTGAAGACAAGACTGCATCCATTTTATTCACCACTGTATCTCCAATGTCTAGGAAACTGCCTACTTATAAAGGGTGCTTAATAAATATTTAAAGAATGAACACATGAGTAATTTGACAGTAAGTAAACTGTAAAATATTTTTAAAATTGTCTTATAATAAGATCCTCAAGTTCCAAGTAAAATGCTTAAGAGAATAACATCTAATGAAGTATTTTTAATCTGAGATAATTACGAAGTCAATCAGAACATACCCACTCCTAACTTAAGCCAAGTTTGTTCTATTCGTTTAATGGAGTTGGGCTAAATAGAAACTGAAATAAGTGCTTGTTAATTATACTAATTAACAAATGGTTGAATGAAAATATATGAGCTATGTAAAACCTAGTTAAAATCTGAAGTTACTATGTGCATGTAATAAGCGCATAGTAAGTAAGGTAGTTTCTCAAGAGGATAGTTTTCATACCCTCAGTTATTTGTGGGGTTTCTCTGAGTAAATTCCAAGACGTCTGATACAGCACTTTTTGGTGATGGGGGTGGGGAGGGAAGAATGCTGTATCTCTGGAAGCTTTTTCTTCTTCACTCTTGGCAATGTACACCTAAGAAATTTTATAGCTGTTACAAAAAAGAGATATTGCATCTTTCTATCCTTTAAGAATCCATTGGTGGATTTTCCCAGATGATGAGGAAAGCCAATAGAAGGTGTCTTATGATTTCATACTTATTTTATGCTCTGCTTTATTTTAGAAAGAAGTTTTATTTGCCCAAATGTCATTAGTGGCATTTATTTCAATAATCCTGGAACTTGTATTTCAGCTGAAAAGTTATTTCCGTAAAGAATTCCTTCACCAATCAAATCATATATATTATTTCCCAGAACTATTAGTCTCTCACATTTTTAAAAACAACTTGATTAATCTTTCAAAGTTCTCCAGAATTCTAGAACTCAAGCTGTTGGAAAACAAGTTATATCTGATTTTGCTCAGCACTGTATCCTCAGGGCCTGGTATAGAGTCTTATGGCATTGAAAGAGATAAAAACCTGATAGACAAATGATTGCAGAAGCCACTTTTCCCTAAGGGCACCTGTTGAGTTCAACAAATCCAATTTTCATTTTGGTGGCCTTGAAAGGTGATGGGAACAAATTACTTCACATAAGGTGGGGCATTTAACAAGAGATACTCCTTATGGTGAAGTGGAACCAAATGGCTATGTGTTGAGAATGAATTTGAAATGCACCATCTTTTATGAGGAATTTAAGCCTGAGATTGACCTGATTATTCTAGAAAACTTCAAGCAATGGCCATGATTTACCTAACCACTATGAATATTCATTGGAAGGACTGATGCTGAAGCTCCAATACTTTGGTCACCTGATGTGAAGAACTGACTCATTTGAAAAGACCCTGATGCTGGGAAAGATTGAAGGTGGGAGGAGAAGGGGACAACAGAGGATGAGATGGTTTGATGGCATTACCGACTCAATGGACATGAGTTTGAGTGAACTCTGGGAGTTGCTGATGGACAGGGAGGCCTGGAGTGCTGCAGTCCATGGTGTCGCAAAGAGTTGGACACGACTGAGAGACTGAGCTAAACTGAACTGAAATTATATCTCAATTTTAAAAATTTGTGGACTGCAGTTATGCAAAGGAAAATTTATAGCCTTATGCATGCATTAGACCATTCTTAATAGTTTGCTAGCAAGAATACTCTTTAGTTTACTTATTAGTCTTACCAGTAAGAATTTTATACTAGTTTACTTACCATTTCTACTACTAAAGATATGCTTGAAACTATCTGTAAGAAACAGAGGTCTATGAAAAACAATATAGCCAATTTTACAAGAACCAAGTAGAGTTATGGAAATGGAAAATACAGTAGCTGAACTGAAAACCAAATGAAGATTAACACCAAATTATGTATAGCTGAAGATTTCTCTTCATTAACTTTCTCTTCATTTCTTCTTCATTAACTTGAAGGTAGGTTGGGAAATAATTACCCTAATTTATGCAATATGTATACTGAAATATTCTGCTGTGAAGTGTCATGATATCTGAAATTTATTTTCAAGTAGTTCAGCAAAATCTGTGTGTGTTTATCTCCAAAATGTGTATATAGACATAGATGTGTTTAGCAAGAGAGGGAGGTAAGGCAAACATAGCAGCATGTTAACAATTGGTGAATCTGAGTAAAGGCTATATTGATGTGCAATGTACAACTGTACATTGAATAGTTCCATAAACTCTTCTAAAATTAAAAATAAAACTAGTAAAACAGTAGCACTTAAATAGCATAAAAATATCAAGAACAAAGAACTAAGTCTTTAAAAAAGAAATAGAAGCCTTCTTGGGGGGGAAACAATGAGCTTATTGAAAAACATGAAGAGAACATCTATATGGTTTTAGAGGTTTTAGAGATATACCATGTTCATGGATTGGAAGATTAAATTTGTAAAAATTTCCCCAAATTGATTAATAGAGTTAATGCAACTTTATTCAAAATTGAATAGGGCTTTGGAAAGAACTTGAGAAGATGCTTCTGTAATATACATAGAAAAGGGCCAAGAAGAGAAAAACTTTTGGATTCCAAATGCCACAGATAATATTGTTTTGTTCCTACCTCAGTGGTGCCTCTTTCTCAACTTCCTTAGTTTCCCAACTTCTTCCTGATCTTATGTTAGAATGCCCCAGGGCTCAGGCCTTCAACTTCTTTCCACTATCACACTGACTCCTTTGGTAATTTCATCTAGTCTCATAACTTTAAATAAAAATCATTTACTAGCCTCTATCTCAATTTAGATCTCTCTCAAACTCACTCTTATATCCAATTGTTTACTTGATATCTCTACTTGGTTATCTAATAGACATGTGAAATTTAACAACATGGATGACTTAAAATAAAAATAATAGTTCAGTTCAGTTCAGTCGCTCAGTCATGTCTGACTCTTTGCGACCCCATGGACTGCAGCATGTCAGGCCTCCCTGTCCATCACCAACTCCCGGAGTTTACTCAAACTCATGTCCATTGAGTCGGTGATGCCATCCAACCATCTCATCCACTTGTGTTGTCCCCTTCTCCTCCCGCCTTCGATCTTTCCCAGCATCATGGTCTTTCCAAGTGAATCAGCTCTTCGCATCAGGTGGCCAAAGTATTGGAGTTTCAGCTTCAACATCAGTCCTTCCAATGAATATTCAGGACTGATTTCCTTTAGGATGGACTGGTTGGATCTCCTCGCAGTCCAAAGGACTCTCAAGAGTCTTCTCCAAAACCACAGTTCAAAAGCATCAATTTGTTGGCGTTCAGCTTTTTTTATAGTCCAACTCTCACATCCATACATGACTACTGGAAAAACTATAGCCTTGACTAGACGGACCTTTATTTTTTGGCCACACCACACAGCATGTAGGATCTTAGTCCCCTGATGAGAGAGAACCCATCCATGCCCTCTGTAGTGGAAGGGCAGAGTCTGAACAACTGAATCACTAGGGAAGTCCCTAAATTTTTTTCTATCTGCAACCTTCCTCATCTTAGTTGATGGCAACTTCATCTTGAATTTTAGTTGCTCAGTCCAATACCTTTGGGTTCATCCTTGACTCTTCTTTTCCAACCCATCAGCAAATCCCTAGATGAATCACTTCTCATTTACCTTTACTGTGCTGACCCTGGCTTGAGCCATATCCAGCTCTTATCTGGTTAACTTCAACAGCCTTCTGATTGGCTTATTTCCTCATCCCATGTTCCTGTACTAAGGGTGCCCTCTAGTTCTTAACCCAGTTTGCATGATGAAAATCAGTTTTGATTTGGGACCGGCACCCAGAGCATTAGAATACTTTTTTAAATGTCTCATATTCCTTCAGTTATCAGAGATCATTTTAGCCTTTGGTTAGTAATTGCTGAAACTGAACAATGGGTTCATGGAGCCCTTTACATTGTTCTTTCAAATAAACATGAAACAAAACAAAAGCTGCTCTAGTGACTCTAATCTGCAGCAGGATTGAGAATCACTGGTCTGTAATCCCCAAACCAGATCATTTCCCCCATAAATAATCGAGACAGTTCTATTTGAAAAGCTGTCTTAAAGAATTAAAAAGATACATAAAAGACTAAAACCACCAAATTTATTTTCCAAAATACAAGAAAAAAGTACACATTTAAATTTACTTTGCATATACCCTAACAACAACAAAAACAACAAAACCTCACCTGTTTCATGTCCTACTTATCTGAACTTAACTCTCAACCAACTGTGGCATCCACAAGAAGGGAAAGATTTCTGGCCCTTTTTTGCAGAACCTGAAAGGTGAAGTGAAAAGACGTGAAACATATACCCCAGACTCAATTCTCCTAAGACAAGGCAAAGCCTTGTTAACAATGAAGCTCCATACTAATGGAAAATGAGAAGCTTCTTACTGACAATTTATCCAGGAACTCTGAAATAGTCATCTGCTGTTTGAAGTATTACCACAACTTTCACTACTGCTCAATGTTATTTTGAGGTAAAGTATAGAGCATGGAGGAATGAAATTCTCTTGTTTCAAATGAAATCTGAAAATATTATCAAAGGTGATTCTTTTTATCTTTAAAAAATAAACCACCCAAACAAATTTATTGGTTTGAAGTATACTTGTTTAATAAACCTGACAAAGAAAAATCAAACTATCATTCTATTTTTGCACAGCAATGAGAATCTATAAAATGTTTCGCGTTCTAACAAAAATAGCTACTGAGATAATTAGACTTGATCTGAGCCTGCCTCAGAATACTGGGGGAACTGCAGAGACTTGCTTATTTGTGGACTGGACCCACTCATGCTTACCAGACGACTACTGATGACATTAAGTTCTCGTATCACCATGCTCAGGTCTTCGTGTAATGTGACTATGGCATTTTTTACCTCCCCTAGAAGAACATTAGTGGAATTGTCTGCTTCAGGTTCCCTAGACAGGTCTTTGGTTGCCTGAGAACTGGAACAGGACATAGAGATGAAATGGTCTACATTTTGAGTGGAAAACGCTACCCAATTACTGCTAGAAATAGAACTTGTCTTCTTTTTGGCAGAATCAGAGTTGTCTGGAAGAATTTCCAGTAGGTTGAGGTTGTCATTTTCTTTTTCATCGGAGGACAATGGACTCCTAGGACCAAAAGAGTGATGAATCCTGGCTGTCTTATCTATATTTTTAACAGAGGCAGAAGAAGATTGTTGACGGGACAAAGTCCAAAAGGAAGGTCCGGCCAAAACCGGGGGTAAGGGATGAAGAGACTTCTCTGGAGAGGCTGAATCAGGGGATGACACAGAGGAAGTAGAATAGGAGAATGCTCCCTCGGATGCAGTTGAAACTAAAATGTAGAAATGAAAGACAAAGATTAGGCAACATACAAGTAAGAGTAATAGCTTAAATAATTCTACAATCTCAAACTCTGTCTGGCCTCAGCATAAACTACTTAGAATTTTATATGTTAAAGAGCCACAATAGGCCCAAATAAAACCAAAGCAGGAAATAAAGAAAATCTAAAGATCTATGATCCATCAGTAATACCACAAAAAAGGAACTTAAATAGAAATATCAATATTCATCTTAACTCTCAAACTTTGCCTAATATATTTTTATACTACACTTATCAGAGAGCAGAAAAGTAGAATATTACACCCTCTTCTACTCACTGCCAGAATTTTAAGTTGACATTTAAAGCAGAAAGTCTGAGAAACCTGTAACTTAGATTCCTTCATTTTTTTCCTTTTTTTTTTTTTTTACAGAAGATATTATGGCAAAATGAACAACCAACTACAAGTACCTCAGAGTTATAAAACGAATCTTTTTCTCTCAATAGTCAAATATAGTCAAGGCTGAGTCCAGCCCATCTGAGATCCAGGACACTTTAGCACTTGTATATAATTTTTTTTCCACCAAGAAACTATAAATAAAATGAAAAGCATTCTAAGCCTATTTTCCCTAAAACAAACATTTGATAACATTTTTAACTTCCCTTCAAGAAAAAATCATAGTAAATCTCTTCTTTCACACTTTATTCTAAATCATTATTTCCCCAACCATTATGGAGAACACTGTGTCCCTTAAGATGGAAAAAGATGTTGTGTAGGAACTGGGTTTCAAAGTCAAATAAGATTGGCCAATTGCACACTGTGCCTCCCATTAGGAGATTAACAATATCCGTTAGTATATTCAAGGTTCTGAGAAATTGACAGTACAGTTGACCCTTGAACAACATGGGGGTTAGGGGTGCTGGCCCGCCCCATATTCAAAGACCCCCACATAAGTTTACAGTTGGTCCACCATATCTGCAGTTCCAAATCAGCAGACTCAATCAACCTCAGATTATATAGTACTGTACTATGTATTTACTGGAAAAAAATCGTGTATAAGTAGACTCATGCAGTTTGAACCCATGTATTTAAGGGCCACCTGTAATTTATTAAAGTGTTTTCCAAACTTTATTGGACACAGGTCATTTTCTTGTCTCCTTGGAATGTCTATTTTTATTCATTTATGCCTTAGGTGGGCTTTCCAGATGGCTTAGTGGTAATCTGCCTGCCAACACAGAAGCCGTGGGTTCAATCCCTGGGTTGGGAAATGGCAACCCACTCCAGTATTCTTGCCTGGAAAATTCCATGGACAGAGGAGTCTGGTGGCTACAGTCCATGGGGTTGCAAAGAGTCAGACTTGACTGATGTGACTGAGCACGCATGCCTTAAAAGGAGGTAAAAGTTGTCAAATTCCAGTGCCAAAGTCTTTGAAATTAACTTTGGACTTACTACTTAAAAAAAATTTTTTATTGGCAATTCCCTGGTAGTCCAGTGATTAAGACTCTGTGCTTCCAGTGCAAGCAGGCATGGGTTTGACCCCTGCTCTGGGAACTAAGATCCCACATGCCACGAGGCACGGCCCAAAACTAAAAGCAAATAAAATAACAGTGAGAATAACTTGAGAATAAAATAATTAAAAATACAAAAACTTGTTCACTATAAGTCATAGAAGAGGGAGATTAATGCTTACCACTTAGCACACAAGACTTATCTTTCTTTCTTATTTTATTTATTTTACATATTCATGTCATTCTAAACTAAATTGGACCTCTTGTCTAAAAATGTGGCCAGGGCAGAACAGCTTCTATTTTTGGCTTCAAAGCCGCCTGCTGCCTAGCTCCAGTTCTCAGGAGATAATTCCAATTACAAAACTTTAAGGGGGTGAAATGAGTATTCTCAGCTGGTGTAGCAGCAGGACACAAAAAAGAAAGTAGGAACTTCATTAACACACGGTCAAGACAGGACAGGCACCCTTAAGAATCCAGGTCAGGCTTATCCAACATTCTGTCCTTGGATTAAGGAGAGGGTATGTGGTAACCATCCTGCCAGTGACGGAAGCCTCTGTCTGTGCGGGTCCTGAGCCACTCTGCACCCCTCTGGGCTGCACTCACAGCTGTCACTGGACACGCCTCTTTGCCACCCTCCAATTTCCCACCAGCGTATCCTGGGTCTTTCCCTTTCTCGGCCTGTTCTCGGGCTGGAGTAACACGCTCTCCAGGGGCTAGCTTCTCACTTCAGAGGCCCTCCATGCACCTTCTCCCGAAAACACATCTCTAGACTTCTGCCAGAGGCTGTCAGAGTTGGCTGAGTGTTCGGGACAACTGTTCATCTGTTCGACAAGGAAGAAAAGTCTAAGGATTTAAACTGCTTTTCAAATAGCTATTTTCGAATTCTCTTTATTTAGCACCACACTCCAATAACAACCTGTGGAATAGGCTTCATAATCCCATTTAAAACATGAGGCAAAGGCATCTCAAAGAAGCAAAGAAACTTTCCCAAGATCACAAGGCTTAAAAGGGGTAGAGATGAGACTCAAATTCAAATCTCTGATGTTAAAGCATATAGTCTAATCCACTAAGCTCTACATCCACACCATTCTAGTATATTAGAATTATTTTTACCCTATTAGAGAATTATGTTAAATTCTAGATATAAAGTTGAGAAGGCAGGCAACCAGGATGGTGAGGGATGTAGAAGGGTTGATGGACATGCAAGTCTTTACCCCCAAACATATAGGAAGACAAAGGGTAGGAGGCTATATTTAGTTATTTGAAAACAGTCAGAAAATCTTAGTAATATTTATCTTCCATTTCTCATATTGTGCACAAGTTGGAACTATGGTTAACAGGAGAAAGCAACAGGAAAAGAGATTTCAGTCCAGTTGAAAAAAGAAAACGTTTAAATAGTTGTGGTTTCCCACACATGACATGCGCTGCTTTGGGAAGCGGTGAGGTTCTTAACACTTACGGAGCTCACGCACAGCCTGAGCGACCATTTGGCAGGAACATTTCAGGCAAGATCAAGGCATCAGCTGACAGAACTATATATCCTTGGTGAGATTCTAAGATTCTAGGACCCAAACCACATATGTTAGAGTACTAAGGAACTATTCTAGAAATAGTTCACTCTGGTCAGAGAGAATGATTTCGTAAGGAAGATTTAAGAAGGCCAGGAGGAAAATAATATTTCAGTCAAATGTTAGTATAATGTTATCTTATATATTTAAAGATCTCTGGTTCCTCTGCCTATTCTAAACCCAGCTTGTACATCTGGAAATTCTCGATTCACGTACTGCTGAAGCCTAGCTTCAGACTCTTGAGAGTCCCTTGGGCAGCACCAAGATCAAACCAGTCAATCCTAAGGGAAATCAACCCTGAATACTCATTGGAAGGGCTGATGCTGAAGCTCTAATATTTTGGCCACCTGATATGAAGAGCTAACTTATTGGAAAAGACCCTGATGCTGGGAAAGATTGAGGGCAGGAGGAGAAGAGGGCAGCAGAGGATGAGATGGTTGGATGGCATTACCGACTTGATGGACATGAAGTTGGGTGAACTCCAGGAGATGGTGAGGGACAGGGAGGCCTGGCATGCTGCAGTCCATGGGGTTGCAAAAAGTTGGACATGACTTAGTGACTGAACAACAAATATATTTAAAGATAACACAGTTAAGGTAGGCACACACATGTGACATGATGAATACCTGGATTCAGTTTTATGCTGAAACTGAAAGTTGCTCAGTTGTGTCTGACTCTTGGGATCCCATCAACTATACAGTCCCTGGAATTCTACAGGCCAGAATACTGGAGTGGGTAGCCCTTCCCTTCTCCAGGGGATTTTCCCAACCCAGGGATCAAACCTAGGTCTCCCACACTGCAGGCAGATTCTTTACCAGCTGAGCCTCCAGGGAAGCCCACAGTTTAAAGCCAGTGTTTCTCAAAGTGTGGTTCCTGAGCCAGCAGCGGCATCACCTGGGAATCTGTTAAAATGAGGTTCTAGGGCCCCACCCCAGACCAGCTGAATCAGACACTGGGGGTTGGAGCTCAGAAAACTGTGGTGAACAAACCTGCAGGTGTTTCTGCTGCGTGCTGAGGTCAGAGAATCGCTGCTTTTTGCTGTGTGCCCACCTTTCTCCTGCTGCGTGGCTACAACTGCTGAGTAAACAGCTTCTCACTGTTGATGGTTCTGCAGCTCTGACTCGTAGGCTGCTTGATGCTTTCGCTCATGAGAACCCACTTCATCTCTAATTGCTGCACGCCAATTTACTTTTGTTTCCAAACACACTGCAGCTGTGCCAGCCACTGCACACGGCGCCTCAGGGCGCATCTCCCTCGCCGTTCAGTGACCCTCTTTGGCTCACTGCGGAAGTTGTTAACAAGCGTCTTCTTTATACAGCCGACCCCCCAGAGCCGAAATGCAGCAAGTATTGCAAATCAGCTGCAGCAAATGGCTGGATTTAAAAGTCTCATTGTGTGATACAGACATGCTAATGAATGCCAGACTCGCTTGAAGATAGTACTGACAAAATTTTTCCAAATGCTGATGTGTTATCTCTAATTTTTTATACTCACAAATAACACTGGATCTATTAATTAGGGTCACAAAGAGTTGGACACAATTGAAGCTACTTAGCATGCACACACTGTTAATTATTATACTACAATTTTAAACTTAAAAAGCATTTGGAAGTACTGGGTTGAAAAAAATAAGATAACAAATACACTTCTGGAAATATTTAAAAGTTATCTTTAGCAGTAAACGTAAATTTTTCTGCTGGCAGCTGGTCTTTGGTAAACAGTTCATTGTACAAGAGAGGGATTTTTTCTTTTTTCTCATTCTCCAATTCATCTCTTTCAATTTTCCTCACTAATATAGAATGGCTGTCAAGTTACCTACACACAGGAATTATACTATCCTGATTTTGTTCTATGGCTAAAAAATGAAACATTTACAAAATTCTTTGTAACAGAATTATTCATAACTGCCAAAAAGTGGAAACAACGCAAACGTCCGTG